CTGCTGCTCACATTTTCTGAAGTGTCACTCTTTGCCTTTTGCAGACGAACAGATCCATTCCCACACACGCACGGGAACAATCCCGGCGAGCGGGGGGCGCGGGGGCAGCCGTGCCCACCCCTCTCCTCCCTCCTTCGAGTTGAGAAGCGCAGGACTCAAACACAAAGCCGGTGTTTACACCAAACCACGTGCCACGCAGCATCAGAGGACGGAGGAAATCAAAGGTCCAGGGAGATGTCACATCTCGGTCACTATCAGACCAACACGTGGGGGGACAGCCCAGCCCCAAATTGCCTCGAGGACTCAGGCGCACCCCCATCACCCCGTGGTGTCGAGCCCGGTGCCGCCGGCACGGTCCCCACCGCCGCATGCCGCTCACCCCGCACACGGCCATGCCACCCCGCACACTTTTCGACGAGCCCTCGCTAACGTTATGAACCAGCTGCGCGCATTTAAAGCGTTATTTTTAACATCACGGTGACCCCCCCTTCCCCAGTCAGGAAATCTGTTGCTGCTGGACTAAGCTGGCATCAAAGGGCCGGGGGGGAAAGAAAAGGCAACCCTAATTTAATATTTCTGGAACATCGATTCCTTCACTTCATCAGGGAATTAAGAAGAATATTGCGAAACCCGGATGAAGCAGTAGCCAAAAAAACGGACTGAAGCCCTGCTGGGGGAGCGGGAGCGGGCTCGCTGCTGCCGCGCCGCTGGGGGTTAACGCGCTGCCTTCACCGGGGGGCTGCAGGGAGAGAAGGAAAAACTTTCGGCTGCCTCGCTCCCGGCTTCCACCAGGAAAAAGCAGCCCCACGGAGCAAACCGGAGCCGCCCAAGCACCCCAATTCCTTGCTCCACGTTAGACCCTCAGCACAGCCCACCCACTTTCCCCGCCTGGGTTCCCGTCCCCGGTGGGTTAATCGCTCCTCGGCCTCCAAAGGTTATTGTGGAAACAAACACGTTGGGCATCGGGAGGTGCTCGGATACCACAGGGGGGGGGAAAGGGCCACGGAGGCGCTTAGAGCAGAGGGGCTGTGTACAGGTAAAACAGCCTGGGGCTGGCGGCCACCGCGCATCCCGGGACGGGGCGTTACAGCTCCCCGCAGGAATTATCCTGCGGCAAAGAGTTGCACCGGCATAAAAAGGGGACGGTGCAGCCAGAGGGACCCATAGACCCAAACAGGGCAGAGCATCCAACTGGGAAATAGGAGAGGACTCGGCTTCCAGCTGGGATGGAGCCGTCCCCCGCTCAGCGTTAAAGCCGCTGGTGTTCCCCTCCGGAGAAGTGGCCTGAAACTCGCCCATGAGCAGGATTACCGCGTCTTTCCCCTACGCGGCTCAGCTGTTTGCACGGCCAGAGATGGGATCTCCGATCAGACGGACCCAGGGGTTGGATCCAAAGCGGAAATGCTTCCATCCTCCTGCTCCCATGCGTTCCGCACTGAGCAATTCCCACCTCATGAATGGGCATATGCCCAGGCTGAGGAACTAGTCCTGACCCCTGTCTCCCCAGGATGGCGTTCCTCCCTCCCTCCCCCCCGAGCCACCCCGAGACCCTGCACAGCGCCTCCCTGTATCCCCCGCAGCCGGGATGCACCGGGGATGGTGGGATGTGCCCTGTCCCCCCTCCATGACCAAAGCCACCTGCGGGAACGGGGGTGGGGGCAGGGAGGCGAACGCAGCCTCCGGGCAGGTCAGAGCTTCACACCACGGCGGCCGACACCACCGGCTCCAGCACACAGCTCTGCGCTCAGAAAGCAGCCGGCACTCGGCGCTGCCGGAGCCATCACTCCTTCTATTTCCACAGCTCAGCCCAAACTGCCGCTCGAAGCATCCCAACCTCCGTCATACAGGGAAGCGTTATCCCCCGTTATTCACGGGGAAGGATGCCGGTAACCCCGGCGGTGTCCTGAGGATGCTCGTGGCCGCAGCCGGGCCGGAGGCGGTTAAGCAGGGTGGGGCTCCCGGCACGCTCTGCACGCTGGAAGCGCGCGGGGAGGGTGATTCAATCATGCACGCAAGCTGCAACCATTGCGCATCCGCGCTGCTTCCCCGCTGCACGCCACCGAGCAAGCGGCGACGCAATGGAACGTCGGC